AATTGAATCACTTTATTAAGAAACCATTTTTAATATTTTCCCCACATTATTGTTATCCCTTTAGAGATAGAGTCTAATTATCTATATTTAAGTATAGAGGGTAATATTTTCTAATCTAGTCTAATATTTCTAATAACATTTTTAGAAAACAATTGGGTTTGATGCATCTCCATTCTATTTACTATTTTACCTATACTATTTTTATTTTCGTTTTAATATTTTTTTAATAATTTAGATATTACTAATTTCTAAGAAATTAGAGTGTACGAGTAACCACCATTCTTTTTTTTTTTAGTGTACCTACCCATATCCATGTACTGTAATTGTTTTCAATGTTTCAAACGATAAAAATGCTTACCTAATATAAAATAGAAATGGTCCCATCATTACCGTAATTTTTTATAACACGTGTACGGCTCTAAAGCAATCAGAAGAGTCTTCTGAACTACTTGCACCGTCGAAAAATAAGTATATATCCAGTTGCTGACTCAGCCGGATAAACCTAAACTGAGGATTACCTCACCGTTAAATTGGAAAAAACCAGGTAAATTAGAAGGCTAAACCAATCGGAAATCGTAAGAAGGTACCACGTGGCAACAGCTCGGCAGAGTTATCCGGTTACAAGTTAAAAAACAAAAGGGCCCCACACACGACCTCAAAGCACGAAACGCGACATCACGGCGCCGTTTGGACTCTATAAATACGAACGATCGGTGAAAGAGAAACAAAACATCAAACAACGATTAATAAAACGTATTACGTGCATTTTTCTTCTTCTTGCCATCTGTCTGATTTTTGTGTGTTTTGGATTTAATATCACCGAGAGTTTCGGAAATTCCATTTTTTCTGTTCTCATTCTTCGTGATCTTTTTCATTTTCTCCAATCTTTAATTAAAAATTCCGAGAGCTTAAAGAAAACATGTGTGGAATACTTGCCGTTTTGGGATGTTCCGATGATTCTCAGGCCAAGAGAGTTCGTGTTCTTGAGCTTTCTCGCAGGCAAATCACAAATTTCCTCTC